TTTTTTTTTTTAATCCATTTATGGAAGGCTTTTGTAGTTTTAGATCATCGGTTCATCCTCTAACGCCAGCCACGCTAATTATTTTCAAATGCTATACAGGAAGATTACCGTTTAAGTGCTAAACAGCATGAATGTGAAATTCTGTAACTACTTTACCTTTTCTAAGGAACCGCGGGCAATAAAGTTATGAGACGGGGTGGGGCTAACCGGAGACAATAAAGTTATAATCACCACGCGAACTTAAGAACTTTGGGGGGTTAGTGGATTTTCTGTTTCCCCTTACGCCGTTCGTCTTTTAATTGACGACTGACTGTGTAAACCAGCTGCTGCAGGGCGTTGCAAAAGAAAATTTCATGATTTTCAAACGTAGAAACTGCAGTTTGAGAAAAATAGATTTTTGGTCAGATTGGTTTGCCTGCACGTTGTTCTCTTCAAGTAGTAGCCGTTTCATACGTATGTGATTAAGTTGGAACGTATGAAATTTCAGTTTCTGAAGCATTTTAAAAAGTTTTTGAACAACTATTTTACTTTACTACTTCTGAGTGCATACCAGTCGTTTCACAGCCTTTTTGCTTTGCCACAGTACTTATAATTTTTTAATGTTACTTTTAAAGTTTCTAGTGGAAGCGATTGGAAATTAAAGCAGCTAGGAGGCTGGCAGTAAAAAGTGTTTCTTATACATCAGTTTCAGGTTAGTTTCAGGTTGCATCAGTTTCATTACTTGATTAGGGAAGAGAATTAAAAAAAATTTGAAAAAAAGCTCTTTCATTTACTGAAAAACAGAGAATGACAACTCCAAGGATCGCAAACCCACATTTTCATAAAGTAAAGCAAAGGCTCTTTGTAGACAGAGCCATAACATGAAAGTGGATTTGACGTAGTAATACATAAAGCTTCTGGTGTTCAAGTCGAAGCAAGCGAGAAACCATATTGAACTAATGGTCAAATCTTTAATAAAAAAGCACTGGTCGCGATTTCGTGGGCTATAGAAAGATTAATTTGTTAGAGTTCCTCGTACTTTAGGGAAAAGAAAGTGAACTGTAAGGTACTGCTGAAAGTTGAAAGTAGAGACGGGAAGCTTAACAGATATTTTTAAGACTGGTGAATCGATCAGGTGAGCAGCTGCTGCAGGGCGTTTCGAGAGAAAATTTTATAATTTGAGACACCTGGATTTGAATTACTCGCGTTATTTTCCAAACGTTTTTTTTTGTTTATTTTCATTTCCCAACAAATTTGGAACCTCCATTTACTCAAGCAACATTTCTTGGCGAATAGTCATTAAAAAGTGTTTGAAAACTTTATTACTTCAGGATTTTCAGGTTTATACTTCAGCGCTTTACCACCTGTTTCCTAACTGAAGAAACTCAGGTTTTTTGAAAGAGGCTATTCTAATGGATAATAAAGTTATCGGAGAACAAAGTTATGTCTATTTAAATATTTGGTTGTCGCAGTGAAAAACAACACTTTTCAGCCTATTATGGCCGTTAGATATATTAACGGTAATTTTCTAGAGGTTCTAATTCTCAGTTATTTATCAGTGTCGCCGTTCCTTCATCCAAATTGAAAAATTACCAACTATGTCCCAGTAGCTTTACAGTTTGATAAGGTGGCTTCACGCAGTTTTCATCTAGTTATTCTCCAAAATAGTCAGCGCTTGAAGACAATTCAAATAGTTCACGAAGAATAATTTTTTTGAAAAATTTGTTACTTGAAAGTAAGTTTATTATGACACTTACGAAGAAAACAGTGCAATAATTCTCCGTTTATGGTTAGTACCTTAATCACTAAATACTGTTTTACTTTAGTATAACAAACAGGTGTTTTTAACGGAAGACAGCGTCGCCAACAATACCGCAACAGAGAAGACTGAAAATGTCGAGACGCATAAAGTAAATGTAGGTTCCGCATACAACACTGTGCAACGGTAGTGCTTTGAATGCAACCTCAAAAATTTTAGAAGCGCTTTTCAGTAATACGGTATCACTTTTTTTTTTTTATTTTCTGCTTCTTGGTTTTTAACAGTAACTGTCTATTGTTTAGGCTTCTATCATAGTATCTTTGACTGGAAAAAGATCGTAACAATTTTTAATTTTATTTTTTTTTCCTTACGTGATTGATGCATTTATTTTAAAAGATAAAAAAATGTCGTTTGTTGTTTCTTCTCCTATTTTGAAGGGAAGAAAACAGGCAGTGTCATAACAATAGCAACCTTGAGTTGTAAATTGAATTTTTGATGCTTGGAGGGATGTATGTGCGTTTATTTTTGTGTGTGTGTTTGTTTGTTTGCATTTATGTATGTATGTATGTATGTGTCTGTGTCTGTTTACGTATGAGTGAGTTTGTGTGGTTGTGCGTGTTGCCTAAACTGTAGGAGACACGGCAAGTAAAATTTAAATTTTTTTTAAATCAACAATCTCTTTTTTGAAAAGCTCGAATAACATTGGTTTTCGCCTGCCGTAATGCATACGTTATGAATTTTTCCTTCTCCAAACGCCATCTGATATTCAACCAACTAATTAGGTAGTTATTGTAGCTGTACAAAATAAATGTAGCATTTTCATTTTTACATTATCATTAATAACAAATCACTATAGAGGATGTCATAGAGTAGAACTTCAAAGAAGAAAATTCTACTTCTTACTTGCCGTTTGTTGGAGTTAATACAGACACGACTATGTTCGAACAAAAAATTTACAGTATCTTAAGCGACCGTATCCGTAAGTTCGAATATGAAAATTCTATTAAGATTTCAACTCTACTTATGATACGTTACTCTAGCA